ATTTGTCAATTGTGAACAGGTTGTGTTTGCTTTGAAGTAGAATGACAATCATGAATGGTACATAAAGTGTTGTAAGCCAGCAATAGCCAATTAACAAATAAAGAGACTATTTGTTATGGGTACACACCAATGTGGTATCTTTTTTATGGGATAGTACTTATATTCTCTTCTTGAGAATAACGTATTTGATTGTATAAATTTTGTAATCAGAACTGTTTACTTTCTTAGTCTTCATTTGAAGATCACTCTTATAAAAAATCATTTCATCGGAGATCATTTAGTCATTCAAATGTATGGAACAAATTGATGGTGTAGGTACTAAGTAATATATTCATGATTAACAATCCATTTATGTGATGTGTTTGGACAATTAAACATCTCACATTTGAATGATTTTTGTAGGAGTGATCTTCCAATGAAGATTAATAAATTGATTAGTTCGATCATTGATTTTATTCGGTTAAGATACAGTATTCGCAAAAATAGAAACCTAGTAAGTTGTCAAGAAATTGAAGGGTTAAATACCTTTTTAATTTAAAAACACATAGTGACTAGGCAAAATCATATTTTTATACAAACGATAGTAAGGGACAAGAAAACCGAGCCTAAGATTTTGATGTAAGAGTATTGTAACAATAAATGTTCTTATCTAATTGAACTACAAATCACTTGCAACAAAGCAAAATCATCTGTTTGTAAGAATCAAATCAGCTAAACCAGATTTATGATTAAAAATTTTGCCAAAATTGAAACTAAGTGAAAATTTGCTCAAACCAGAGGGACCAAAGAAATTTATTTAGCCCTTAATTTCATCATTTGCAATGAGGAAAGTTCCATGATAGTCAATTATTCCGAGATAAATGTTTTAGTAGCGAAGAGATCGTAGGTTGAGGTTCAACACTCAACACAGCTGGTGCTAATGTACCACCTTATAGCTTTTTTTCTGAGGTAGAGGTTGGATTCGTTTGGATGTACTTTTAAATAATTGAAAATACTTTTGGTGAAAATGTTTTTTACACCAATTCTTAGTAAAAATCTAAGTGGATCATGAAAAAAGTAATTTAAGTGCTTTCTGCAAGAAGCACATATATGGTGCTTTTTCCAAAAAGCACTTAAATTTCTTTTAGAACTCAAAATCAATTTAACCAAAAGCTCTTTCAGACATTTTAAAAACACTTTCAAACAAACCTGTCATCTTCGCAAAATTGACATACGTTACTCTTTGTACATAATTTGTTTTGGGTTTTAGTGTTGATAACACCATTTCTCCGTACATGGAAAATTATGAAAGGCTATAGGGTTCTCAAATAGATGAGTTTCGAGTGGTGGTGGAGCCATCATGAAGACAAAATTGTAGTCGATGTGATAGATTTTGTGGTTTTTCATCGAATGTATCTTTTAGATTAGGTTTATTTATTTATTAGAGAATTAGTCTTAATTATGTTTTATGATTTTCTTTCAGCATTAAATTGCTTTGCTTCTCATGTGTCACTTATTGATTAATTGGTTAATTAGGGGCACATCTGTCTTTTTCAATTTAAATATGACACATAGATTAGCAAACTAAGACAATTTTAATTGCCAAAAAAACTAATTACGACCTAGACAAGAATTTAATTATAACTTTGAAGAGTACTTTAATTCCGACATGATAGCAATTAGCAAATTAGAAAAATTAAAGTTAAATCAGAGATTACTAGTGAAATTAGAGTCCTCAATCCAAGGTTGGAGACATCTTAATCTTGTGATCACATGATAATTAATGGCCTGCAATTTGATTGTGAGACATAAGATTCCTTCCTTAGAAAAGGGTCAATTTGATCATCAAATTTCTGAAAAGGAATTCACAAACTCATTTTTCCATATTATAATCACGCTGAGCCACATTAATTTTGACAACGAAACAAATTTGATATCATCCCCTTCAATATGTAATAAATATTGGAGTTAATCGTTTTAAAATCGGAAAATGATCGAGAGATTTTTCAGTGTGTCAGGAACACGACTTAATATACTAGGTGTTATAATAAAAGTTGTTGGATATTTGAAAAAGAAAATTTTTAACCACTTATATCATGACATTTAGTGTATCAAACGTGTTTTTGACATATTGAAAAATTTCTCTCAATCCTATGATCATGAAGTAATTGATCAATTTATTTCTTTCAATTAATTAGGAAAAGGGAAAAATGTATAAAAATGGGAATAGACATCCAGCTAACCAAGAAAAAGGCCATGATAAATGAGGCCACCGACTAGGATCCGTTTTAAGAAAATGGTTTGAAAACTTTGAGTTTTAACGATAAGGACAAAATAAAGGGTAAAATGAATAGTATCATGATTGATTTTTTAGTGTAAAAATGTGATTTTTCGTTAAAATAAACAGTATACTGTGAGGTTTTCGTTAAAGTTTCCTAGTATAAGTACAGCCCCAAGCGCATAGTTTTATTGTTAACAAATTAGTTTAACTGTAACTTGTGATTAAGTAAGTAAAATCGTATATATGTACTATTCATGAACGACTTATTACTTATTTTTTTTAATCTAGTGAGTTGTGTAAGACAAGTCAATCCTAGACAAATAAACGAGCAAGGTCTAGGAATTTCTACGATCCATTAGCCTGACACAAAACGACATCAAAATAGAGGTTATGAATCAACCTGTTAACGAGTCTGGTTGTTATCGGATCACCCGATAAGATAACGAACATGACACAAAAACGAAACTAACACGATTTTCAAGAATAAGCGATCAAAACCAAAGAAAAATTGTATACAAATCTAGAAAATGAGATTGTATAAGTTATAATGTTATACACGTATACGTACAGAAAGAATGAAAGTTGCATGGTATACGTAGCTAAATGTTATGTCGGTAGCAAACGGTCAATTTTTTTCTTCTTTGATTTCCTCTTTTTTGCTGAGACATCCATGGGAGGAAACTGCATGGAAACTGTAGGATTACTATGAAACCATTGACCTTAATTAAGAAAGAAATCAATAATTTTCATTTGTTTTTCTCAAATCAAATCAATAATTTATATAATGGAAACACATTCACGTGATTATTTTGTGACATTCTTCCATAATTAGTAATCCTTGGTCGTGGAAAATTTAATCAATTAAATGATTAACAAGAGTAAGGAGGTGCAGGAGGGATTCTAGTAGTTCCACAATTTCCAATTTAATTAGTTTAGGCTGAATTATCAAAGTGTAATATGAATTATGACAAAAATATCACGTTATCTCTTGTTTTTGTAACTGTATCACTTTGACCTTTGAACAATCATTTCATATTTTACGTTATCTTCGTTTGTCAGCTTCGTACTTTTGCTCCACAACATGGACATATATATCAATATTGTGGATGATATATTGACGGAATGTCAACCATACCGTCATCAAGTCTTAATGAATCAATCGACGGAGTTGAAAAATTGCGATAATGTAATATACAGAGTTAATCTAAGCATTGAAAGCTAGAGAGCCAAAAACCCTGGCTGCAGAGAGAGAAGAAACCTAGCCGCGATGGGAGGGGGGTTCGGACCGGATTTTTTTACGTCCAACGCACTTTCACGATTGAACACCCACCATCTCTTTCGTCTCGGTGAGATCTTTATCTTCTTGGTCTTGGTTTGTCTGGGTTTCTTGTCTTTCAGATGGATCAACAACTTCTCCACTTCGGATCCTACAAGCATTTGAGGCTCTAGAGTTATGACTAGTTTCTATCTAAATCGTATAATGTGCTGGACTATTGGACTTGACCCGAGCATTATGGAATCAAGTTTGGTTCTAATCCTGATGAACACGATGATTCAGTCTGCTTCAATGAGAGTTCAAACGCGATCCATTAAAGGAAGAATCGCGCTTAGTAAAGTTGTGTGATTTTTTTGTTTTGTTGTTTTATTCAACCCTCGTGTTTGTAATAATTCCACAAACTCAGCATGAGTTGTCTCGCCTCGTCGTAGGAGAATTTGGCATTCTCGATTTAGGCGAATAAGTTAGCCATGCTATATGCAAGTTTTGTAGTTGGACATACAATGGTGTTTTGGGATCATAAGATGAATTGAAGCTGTGATATCTTTTGACGCAGAGTTCATGTATAATAAGAGAATCTTAATGAAATACTTCCAGTACTGTTCACTTTTAACGTTAAGAACATTTTTACCTTGAAAAGTCATTCTTAGTACTATTCACTTACACCTTTATTTTGTCATTTTGATTAAAAACTCAAATTTTTAAGGATTTTTCGTTAGTTTTTCTATATAATTATGGCGTTTTCTTATACCACAATTGTCAGCACTAGATGTATTGACTATTATGAATCCTCCGACGTCTCTTTCGATTGTTTGCTATATTTGGGTTTATTTCAAATCATGGTTTTGCAAGTAACCTCCTATTAGGGTCATGTCCTTCGTTTTGTATGGAATTAGTATTTTGCTCATTTTATAAATGATATATGTTTGTTTATCTTAAGAGAAAAGTAAAAACCAATGGACAAGGTGATACGATTAGAATATTATTATGATATAAAACCAAAAACCCTTAACTTATTCTCCCTTCTTCAAACTTAATTAAATACTGGGATAATGCTAATCAAATTTCTCAATCTCATCACGTTCAAAGACAAATCAGAGTGTTCAAACCTGGATACGTGTGTGTGGACAACATGGTCTCGAGGGTTTTTTTTTTTCGTACAGACAAATATAGCTGGCATTTCTAAATTCAATAAATTTCCAAATCAAGTGGCATTTTAGTAATAATCACAATAACGAGGGCCCATCTCATCGTCAAATTATCCAGCTCCCTCTCACTTTCTATCTGTAAGCGAGTAATTAAGAAAGAAAAAGAAAGTGGTCTCCAACCAACAACCACCCCTCCCTCTCTCTCTCTCTCTCTCTCTCTCTCTCTCATCATCTTTATATTAATCTCTCTGCACTCCTCACAAATTCAGGGCTCATTCACATTTCAGCTCCGAGTCCCTTCGTTTGTCTTTAGATCCGTCTCTTCTGTCCCGAAGCACAAAACCCTTTCTTTTGTTTTTACACAATTTGGGTAGTGGGTACATATATTTTCGTATATTGATTCATATATACTTTGGATTTTGGATTCTCTGTATATTTTGGTGTATGTTTTCGGCAATGGCTTCTCCGCCAGATACAAGCAAGACCATAAAGCTGGAGCGCTACAACAGCTACCTCCGCAGGGTCAACAGCACCAAGCTCCTCAACGCCTCCTCCAAGCTCCTCTTCCGCGCCACCCTTCTCGTCGCCCTCGTCCTCATCTTATTCTTCACCCTCAACTACCCTCCGCTTTCCGATCACGTCGGCGGTGGGGCCAACCACGTCCACACCACTCACAACTTTCTCTCCTCCGCTTTCTACGGTGGGGGAGTGGGAGGGACTGCTTGGGAAAAGCAGGTCCGCAAGTCTGCTACTCCTAGACGCCCCAACGGCATGTCGGTGCTGGTCACCGGCGCGGCCGGCTTTGTCGGGTCTCACTGCTCCCTCGCCTTAAAAAAGCGGGGCGATGGAGTTCTGGGACTCGACAACTTCAACTCCTACTACGACCCTTCGCTAAAGCGGTCGAGGCAGGCCCTGCTGAAGAAGCATGAGGTCTTCGTCGTGGAGGGCGACTTGAACGACGAGCCACTGCTGACGAAGCTGTTCGATGTGGTGCCGTTCACTCACATCCTGCACCTGGCGGCCCAAGCGGGCGTCCGGTACGCTATGCAGAACCCGCAGTCGTACGTGAGCTCCAACATTGCCGGGTTCGTCAATCTCCTCGAAGTGGCAAAAAGAGCAAATCCTCAGCCCTCCATTATCTGGGCCTCCTCCAGCTCAGTCTACGGGCTCAACACTGACAACCCGTTTTCCGAGCTGCACAGGACTGACCAACCGGCCAGTCTCTACGCGGCAACAAAAAAAGCCGGTGAGGAAATCGCCCACACTTACAATCATATTTACGGGCTTTCCCTCACCGGCTTAAGATTTTTTACCGTGTACGGACCGTGGGGGAGACCCGACATGGCGTATTTCTTTTTCACCAAGGACATACTGCAGGGTAAACCGATCGACGTCTACAAAACAGTGGACGACAAGGAAGTAGCACGTGACTTCACGTACATTGACGACGTCGTAAAAGGGTGCCTGGGAGCGTTGGACACAGCCCAAAAAAGCACGGGAAGTGGGGGCAAAAAGAAAGGCCCCGCCCAGCTGCGAATTTACAACCTCGGCAACACGTCGCCGGTGCCGGTGGGGAAACTGGTGTCGATACTGGAAGGGCTTCTAAGCACGAAGGCGAAGAAGCACGTGATCAAGATGCCGAGAAACGGGGACGTGCCCTACACGCACGCCAATGTGACCCTGGCGTACAAGGACTTTGGGTACAAACCCACCACGGATTTGGCCAGCGGGCTGAGGAAGTTCGTCAAGTGGTACGTCAGTTATTACGGGATCGAGTCGAGGGTAAAAAAGGAAATGGACAGCGGTAAGAAGGGCAGTCAGCTAACCGACGAATCCGGTTGATTAAATCATCCTCGTCACTGATCACATGGCCTTTGTCTAAATTTTTTGTTGAATTAAATTCCGTTTTTACTTTTTTTTTTTTTGGGACTTTTTTTAAAAGTAATTTGGGTGTGTGTTCCTGGATGTAATTGGATCCAAAATGTTGCAGCTGTTCTTGATGTATCATATATAATTTCATATAGAAGAAGAAGAAGAAGATAAAAATGTTTAGGAAAAATATGGGGGAAGGTGTAGATCTGGAAACATGGGGGGAGGAGGTTTGTAATAATGTGTGGTGGGGTCTACTGGAAAGGTTGTAGATCTCAGCCATTGGATTTGGTATAAAGAAATTGTGATTGTAACAAGAAACAATGACATCAAGAATCTTCTTTGCCTTTGCTTCTTCTTTTCATTTTTCTTTTTTTTTTTCCCTTAATTTTTTAATTTTATTTGTTTATTTGATTCAATTAACTTGTTTAACTATTCTCTTGCTTTTGTTGTTTCTTTGGTGGTCATCATGTATAATTTGGCTTTGGTTTCGTGGCCAGATTTTTTATTATGTCTGGAACAGGGTCACATAGTCATATGTCATTATACAAATTGAAGGATATTTGAAGAAAAACTTATCACTCTACTTGTTTAATAACATACGACATACCGTTCCGTCAATCATATAGAAAATCTCTCAATTCTATGGGTCGCAAGTGGAGGGGAGGTCTTAATTAGTTTTGCTTTGGAGATGATCATCAATAATGAAAGAGGGTAGGGATGTCTCTCTACAGCACTTGTTGATTAATTTGGGAGACTTTGCAGCAAAAGAAAAATTTATCGTTACTCAAATGCAAAGGGACTTCTCTTTTTTTGACGTGAATCGAACAGTCTAGCTGATTCGACTATTAAAAATAAGATTTTCACATTCCCAAAAGAGGTCAAAAAGAAGAAAGAGGGCAATATATTCCCTAATCATGTTGATTACTACATGTATAAAAGAAGAAACAAATTGGAAAGTAAGGGCTTCTAAATTCTAATTAGGAAAAGGAATTTTGGGACATCTGAAATGAATTGCGGAAAGGTACCTGCCTGACGACAAAGTATAAAAGGCTTAAAAACAATGAAAAGAAAGCTACAAGTATTTATTCAACACTACCTTATTCATATGGTACAAATACTTGTATTTCTATTGCGTAGTAATTTTGGCACTCCCGTTTGGCTACTTGCACTTCCAATAGTAAACTTAAAAGTTTATTATATTGGTTCAAAACAAGCTAAATTGAAAATGCCAAAATCACTATGGTTGTAGTCAATATCACATAGTGCTAGTAAGCCTGACAAATGGGTCTTGTTTGTCGTTTTTTTATCATATCCATTATCTTAACCAGTCGTGTTGTGTCAAACCCATTAAGATTAACAGGTTCTTAACAGATGACCCAATAACGACCCGACACGTTAATGGGTCGTGTCGTTTCGAGTCCAGTTAACGAGTCATGTAAAAAATTGTCATATCTAATGTCTAGATCTGGCAAACGATATCTTATCGAGTTCTTAACGGGTGACCTAATAACAACCTAACTCGTTAACAGGTTACCCAATAACAATCCAAGTCACAAATTAGCTCGAAACCCATTCTTTTCTAATAATTTTGTGTTAAATTAACATATAGTGTAAGAAATTGCCAAACCTAAGTGCTAAGCACATAGTGTACATGGTTAATTTAGTTGGTTTTTGACCAAGAAAAAATTCACTGAAGTGGGTTTAAGATCTGTCGGTGAGAAATACTCAGCCACACAAGTTACATATGCTTATTCAACTCGTGTTCCCTGCATAACTAAGTTCTTTTTTATTAAAAATTGGATATTCTAGATATTAGCCATGGCATCAATGTTTTTTTTATTTTTTATTTTTTATTTTATCAATAATAATATTCTTACCATATTTTTGTATCACAATTATGTACCACTTTAAGTGGCACATCTGATGTGAACAACCACATCTTTTCAATTAATTAGCATTTAATTTCAAAATGTTAATCAATAATTAATAAAAAGATTGTTAATTAAATGATGATTATGGTATACGAGGACTCTCATTCTACCACCTAAGATTATTTAAGTGTTTTAATTAATAAAAAGATTGAAATTAAATGATGTAACTTATCCAATTCATCTGCCATCTAAAATGGTAAATAAATATGATATAAAATTGTGGTAAGAATATCATTACTTTTTTTTTTTTTTTAAATTGAGTCTGAAATTTTATTTTGTTTTTTAGTTCTGCCCCATCCATGTGGCAGCATCAAAATTATTGAGTTGAAATGAAGACCTGTAAAGTAATTTCCTTTTTCTTTTTGCTTTTGATAAGAATATTATGTTGTTGTTGGCTTCTTGAGAAAGAGTTCTATCTACTAATTATTGGATTTGAATTCAAACATAAATTAACCTTAAACTATCCTACAAATCATGAAAATGTAATTAGGGTCTAATACCACGATTACATGAAATCACATATAATTACTTCGTTGATCGTTGTGTTTTAAAATGCAAGTTAATGTCATTAATGTCTTGATATTATTCACCAACACTGATTACGTATAACGTACTTTCCATTGAGTGAGTTGACAATGGTGAGTGCTTTGTAGAAGACTATAGGCGTTCAAAGTTGCTTCCTGCAGACTTCTAACTCTCCACATCGACTTCAATGGACGCTAGAAGTTTCAGGTCAGCCAATATTCATAAGGTTTTACGTTTTGGTCATTCAATTTCAACCATCTCATGCCAACACTAATCCCTAAGTATTCTTAAAAGAAGATTTATATGAAATGGATTCATATTATGATATCCTACTCTAATAAAATAATATTCTGAGCAAGTTTTTATCAACATGATATTATATTATTGAACAAAAATCACAGTGATAAATCTGTTCTATACAAAGTATTCATTTATCTGACAATGACTTACATGACACGGATGCATGAACATGTAGCGATCCATGATAATAATACAAAAATATATGTTAATTTTTTTCTCTTATTCTTATGTTATTAGTACTAGACGTCACGATAACAATGAACTCGTAATATACAAATTGTATATCTTTGACATGTGTTCATTTTAACGTAACAATCACCATATGATTGAGAATCGCAGAAGGTGGAACGAAAAGAAGCATTTGATAATTCCTTTGAGAGGAACAGTCAAGAACTTTTTTCCTGCACTTACTGACACCCCCGCCTGTCCTTTGACCGTTCATTCCAGGAGGTGCAGTACTTTTTGTTTCGACTTTTGTTTCTTTGGAGTATAACAGAGATAAGACCAAACAATATATGTGAATCTTGTTTTATTAGAGAAATGAAATAAATAAAGTATGACAAATGTATTATAATTTCTTTTTTTTTGTCCCGATATTTGAAATCAATAAAAATTGTATCTGAGTTTATTCACCATCAAATAATGGACAAACTCAGGGATTAATGTTATCGATTTCAAATTTCATGGACTAAAGTAAGAAGTTTTGTCAATTTCAATGACTATTTTAGCTAAAAAGCCTTAATATGATAAGAGTAGCATTTTTATTTTACTTATGTTAGATAATTAATTGTACGAGACTGAGTGAGAAATATATTTTATGTTGGTAAGTACATTCTTGAGAATGCAACAAGTTTGCCAAGCAGGTTCATGGAAATGTGACATGTTACATTCAATTTGAAAACAAAATGACATTCGTAATGTATCCAGTCAAACCGCAATGAAATCCTTAAGTTTTCCGTCAATATCTATGGTTTTACTTCTTTCATATGATCTAAAGAACCATATTCTCCCTTTGAAAACGGTGGGATTAGTGAGGATAAGTTCTTTGCATCAACCTGCTCAGAATACTCCATCTCAATCCTCAAAGTTAGAAGACAACTTCCATATTCTTCCTCCAAATTAGAAGACAACTTACACATTCTGCCTCCAAACAAATATTGTTGTACATCGAATTGTTCGTTTTGCACTCCATTCTTGAGGTGATTGTACTTGATTAGATGAACCTCCTATTATAAGTTGTGATATTCTTGAGGACGATGCCTCTTTACCTTGTATTGTCTAGCCTTTGCCTGGCTTTGAATGAAACATATGCCACCTTTTATTAAAAAAAAAATATATATATATATTTGTAACTATTTGGCATAAAAAAGGACAATATATATGTGACAACTAAACCCTTTGTAGAAGCCAAAAGAGGACGTATATTTCTACTCTTAACATCCATCAAACCTAACTCCACTTACTCTTAGTCTTGGCATCCATTAATCCCATACCACACCACTATAATCAAGCTAGGGTTTCTTGACAGTAAATTTCTTCCTCTTACTATACATGAGCCATGACTCAATGAGCTTTTTTGACATAAGGCAGTTAGATCCAGTTCCAAAAACCTTATTTTTTAAGGATTGTTCGGACCCTTTCGGGTCAATGATTCTCAGTTATTTGACAGTTGAGGGTGTAAGCTAGTTGAATATATATATATCACGAAACTTGGATTTCTTGGTACAGCTTAGCCTAAGTGAGACTGATGATTTCATCTAATTCTTTCCATCTCTCCAAATCGGTCAACACATGAATCGTTGGTTAATAAACCACGATGACCAAGTCAATGGGAACCCCAGCAATGGATCTGTAACCTAATTATAAGAGAATTATTCAATAAATGGGATGACTTTTGATTAATTAAATAATACCAACGACCGGATAATTGTATAGTTTATGAATAAACTAAATCATTAGAGCCTCAACACTTGCAAAATATGTATAATAACCTTAGCTATGGATAAACTAATTTGACTTCGATAGTCAATAGAATTTTGGTTTAGAAGCATTAATATACAGATCTGATATGAATAAGACGATCTAATATCTTGATTATTCTAAAAGACTCAAAAATCATTATATATAATGGGACGGATTCGCGGCACTATTTTTTACAAAAGTTTTTGTGGGCTCATTCCGTAAATTATTTCACTGAACTGTCTGTCTTTTGAAACTTTTCTCAAAGATTATGTCTACCAAAAATCCAAATATGAAATCATATGATCGTTGGATTAATGGTTTAAGGTTAACATTAGTTGCTAGTTGTTAGTTGTTAGGGGGAAAAGGAATCGGTGAAGATGGAACTCGCATTCTGATACATATGCATGATTGCTTTTCTACCAATGCGAAAAACGTCATCTGCATTATATATAATACAACAAAACCTTTCTAAAGTAATACTTTATAAATAAAAATACATAATGGATTACTCGAAACACCAAATATTTAAATTGCTGAAACTGTGTCATCCATTCCAATCTGGTTTTGAGCCCGCATGGTGTGGAGGAATCCATGGAATGTGTTCATATACCCATGCGATGCGCTTATAATAATAGTCTCCCGT